CTCTCACCCCAAGAGTCTTTGGATGTGTTTGTTTTGTTCAAAACTTGGGGCCTGGTTTAGACAAGTTAGATGCATGAGCTACTAAGTGTATCTTCCTTGGCTACTCAATGACTCAGAAAGGGTATAAGTGCTATAACCCTAACTTCCATAAGTCACTTGTGTGCTCCAATGTCACCTTCTTTGAATCAGTTCATTTTTTCTCAGATACTGTGGTTTCTTCTCCTTCCTCCGTAGTTCCTCTTCCCGTCCCTGTTGCGGATCCCCTTCCTGTGGTTCTCATTCCAGTTGCAGATTCACCTTCCATGCCAGTTACTACTGAGAGACCACCAATCAAACAAGTGTATACTCACAGAAGAGTACCGACTCCTCCAATTCAGCCCTTGTCGACAAATCTTGTCATTGCTTCTTCTCCCTTAGACCTTGATCTTCCTATTGCCCTGCGGAAAGGTAAACGCACTTGTACTTTTCATCCTATTTCATACTATGTTTCAACTGCTCACCTTTCTGCTTCTCATCGCAAATTTATATCATTGCTATTACCTGTTTCCATTCTCAAGACTGTCCAAGAAGCCCTTACCTCCCCAGGGTGGCGGCAAGCCGTGGAAGAGGAACCCTCTGCTCTACAACACAATCACATGTGGGAACTCACTGCTCTTCCTCCTGGTAAGCATGTTGTTGGGTGTAAGTGGGTCTACACAGTGAAGTATCTTTCAGATGGCAGTGCGGAGCGATTGAAGGCCAGGTTAGTGGCCAAGGGCTATTCTCAGTTGTATGGTGTGGACTATATGGAGACATTTTCTCCTGTGGCTAAAATTGGTTCAGTTCGGGTGTTGATTTCATTAGCTGCTATGTATGATGGCCTCTTGTGCAACTTGACATAAAAAATGTTTTTCTACATGGTAATCTCATCGAGGAAGTGTATATGGAGCAACCGCCAGGGTTTGTTGCTCAGGGGGAGGATGGTAAGGTTTGTAGATTCAAAAAGGCAATTTATGGAYTGAAACAATCTCCACGCGCATGGTTTGGCAGGTTCAGTGAAGTAGTGAAAGACTCTGGGATGAAACAGTGTCAGGTAGACCATTCTATGTTCAGCCATGACTCAAAAGATGGGAAAATCTTGCTAGTGGTGTATGTGGATGATATTGTCATAACTGGGAGTGACAGTAACGAGATTGACAAGTTGAAGAAATTCCTACAGGACCACTTCAATACGAAAGATTTGGGTAAGTTGAAGTACTTCCTGGGAATAGAAGTTGCAAGGTCAAGGCATGGAATTAAGTTATGTCAAAGGAAATATGTTCTTGACCTACTTGAAGAAACAAGACTGTTAGGTGTTAAACCAGCAGAGACTCCTATGGAACTTAATGTTAAGTTGAGTGTTGATGCAGGTGAAGAGTTTGATGATCCTATACAGGAGGTTGGTGGGAAAGTTGAATTATCTGACTATTACCCGACCAGATATATCATTTGCTGTGAGTATGGTGAGTCAGTTTATGCAACATCCTCGGATTCCTCATTGGGAAGCAGTTCTAAGGATTGTTAGGTACCTGAAGGGTGCTCCAGGTCGTGGTTTGCTATACCAAAGTGGAGGGA